ATTATATAATTTAAAATAATATTAAAAAATTATTGTTTGCTAATTAAATTTTTTTAAGCAACTGTCCTAATATTTAAACCTTTAACATGACTTACAAAATGGATATCTATATGTGTATTTAATCTTTATAGTATTTAATAGTATTTAAAAGAGGAGGGACCATCTTTTAAATAATCAAATTATAATATTTTTAAATATTATAATATAATTAATCCAAAAATTCATTCCTCTTTTTTATTTCTTTATACTAGACATTCTATTAGAGTTAGTGCAGATTAATTTATTATCATTCTAAGAGGTTTTACTAGCAGCCCAACTTTTTTTTCGCTGTTGAATAGTTTATTAAAAAAAATTAAATTTTAAAAAAAATTTTATGGTTCAATGGTCACTCATATTTTAATAAAAACATTTTTATGCACATAAGAGGTGTGGGGTGTGAATCTCACTTGAATTAAAAGAAAAATTAAATTTCAATGTTAATACTTAAGTCCTAATTTTAATTTAACATATAGGAGGACACTTGCATATCCATATTCCATAGATCCAATCTCGGGCTCAGCTAAATGAGCAATCATATATTATGAAGTCCAGCCTAGCAGAAAAAAGTAGGGTTCTCACGGGACCAATGTAGTGCCCATATTTGCCTACACTCCGATTTTCGCCTTTTTTCTTTTCCCTTTCTTTTTCACATTATCATTAGTCCGTTTTCCTTTTTGCCTTCAATTATAGCCCATTTGAAAAATTGGGAATGATGGAAAGCATAAAGCAGTTAACTTTATTTCAAATATTGAATGTTAAACCATATTCAAAGATAAAACCAGGTAATGTTCCAATGGTGCAGGGGCTGTTCACCGGTGCAGGGTCCTGGAGCAATTTCTTCCACAAGTTGAGCACTCAACATTCATGGTGAAAGTAGCGTGAAAAGCAATGTCTGTATGAAATGGAATTGTCACCTGTTTAAAGACAGATGAATGGTATTCTGCATCAATTTGTGTGCTTCTGCTCAAGTTATTGCCTTGGAGTCTTGGACCACCCACCAGGGTAACTTTACTAGATACCCTCAATAATGTCCCATCCAAAGCAACCTAGCGTGCCTTTTGTACATCTTTGGCCACACGCCTATGAGTACGAATACGTATGTGCGTGCAAGTGAACGGGTATACGTTGCAAGTTCTTAGTTACGACATTCGAGCAGGGAAGACTATCTCATAACCACACAATTATAGAGACAAAAAGAAGGACTAATGCAGTGTGTTGGCCAACTATTGACTTGATCAGGCATTTGGTTGTCCAAGAAACGTTCTTTGTCTGGCTAAACCTTTGGCAGCTGAAATGTCAAAAATAGAGGAGATTTTCAGTTAATTAGATAGTGACATACCAACCACAATACCACATGCAAGTAATAATAGCCCACCAAAACCTCAACATTCAAGCAAAACTTTCCTTTCTTATTTCTTAATCTCAGGTTGGCTTGCCTTACCTGTCATTGGAACCTTTTTTTTTCCCTTTCTTTGTCTCCTTTGCTTTTTCTTCCTTCAAATCTTCCCTCCCTTTGCAGTTTAAATTCCATTCTGTGTTTTTTCTTCTTTCTTCATTCAAAAGTTCCCAATTTCTCCAACCTTGGCACTCCCTTGAATTCTGTTTGTCATATGCTTTACTAGTTTTCTGATGGAGGTGTAAATACAGAATTTAATGCATGTGAATGCATTCATGCTTCCCCACCCCAACCTTTTTGGTGTGACTTCTGCTTCCTTCAGACGGCTGTTGTCACTGGTTTTTTGAAATGGCCTTAAATACAATTTAATGTTATGTGGTAGAACATGTTATGGTCCTGAGAGTATAAAGCTTGAAATCTACGGCAGTCATTCAAATCTTGGAGGAACCGGCCTCGTAGGTTAAACAAAAGCTATTAGTTTTCTCTTCTTTGGGGCTCTGGAGGTTGTCATGGAGAATGAAAACGGTGAAACACCTAAAATGGATGATTATGAAGTGATAGAGCAGATTGGAAGAGGAGCTTCTGGTGCTGCATTTCTTGTTCTTCACAAGGTTGAGAAAAAGAAGTAAGAGTTGATTCTACTCACTCTCTTTTCACTTTCTCTTTCTTTGATGTTGTTTTGTTCATATTTCTATATTTCTCTTGGTTGTACATGTAGGTATGTATTGAAGAAGATTCGTTTGGCTAAGCAAACGGAGAAATTTAAGAGGACAGCACATCAAGAGGTTATTCTTCTGAACACTTTAAACTTCTGATCTTTTCCCATGTATGCATTCCATCCCCATTAATTGTAATTGATCCCCATAAAGCCCCTTGTTCTTTTAAAGTAATTTCTGCATAATTTTTCCTGGTAGGTATGTAAAATTGCAGAACGTTTTGCTTGCTACAGTTAAAACAACCAATCCTACATGGAAAAACAATGATTCAGGCACTAACACATGTTTCTGTTGCAGATGAATTTGATGGCAAAGCTCAATAACCTCTACATTGTTGAGTATAAGGATGCATGGGTGGAGAAGGTAGTCTGTTTCGAAGGATTTGTCGATTCCCATTAGGCAGACATGCTGAATGTTTGGTTTGTAACCATTTTTTTACAGGAAAGCTGTGTGTGCATTGTGTCAAGCTACTGTGAGGGAGGAGACATGTAAGCTTTAGTTCTTCAAAAGCAAATTCTTGTCTTTTGTTGGGACTATGTCTATGCAGTTGCCTTTCCTGATATAGTAATGTTCATGCAGGGCTGAGATGATAAAGAAGAATAGAGGAACATTTCTTCCTGAAGAGGTAATGAATATTGAAAAAAGCAAGAAACTTGAGTAGCACATGAGAAATTGCAGATTACTCATTTTCTTTTCATTCTCTTTGCAGAAGCTGTGCAAATGGTTCACCCAACTGCTATTGGCAGTAGACTATCTTCACTCCAACCGTATCCTTCACAGGGATATTAAAGTATGTGTTTACAGCTGTTTTCTGTTAAGAACAGCCTTATTTTTCTTTCATCCTAAGTAACTCTGTAATCTAATCTCAGTGCTCAAACATCTTCCTAACAAAACTCAATGACATACGGCTAGGTATGAAACTGATCTGAAATGCAGGAAAATTTTGTTTTAGATTCAACATCCTCTGCCTTGCAGCTGTGCTAATTCACGTTAACATTGTAGGTGACTTTGGACTTGCAAAATTTCTTAACAAAGAAGATGTTGCTTCCTCGGTAAAATAACTGCATAGCCTCATTTTTATCTCACACTAACTGAGTTCCTAGGTTGCAAATTGCATATCTTCTTTTTCGAGTTCTTTCATTTTGGGTTAATTCAACATCATGATCAATATTCTTCATTTTGTTGTGCTTAAGAATTTCTGCTTCTCTAGATTGTTAAGATGCTCATATCTATGATAGATTAATTTCCATTTCGTAGATTGTAGGCACCCCAAACTACATGTGTCCAGAGCTTCTTGCAGATATACCATATGGCTACAAGTCAGATATATGGTCCCTAGGTAATTTAAATTCCAGAGATATATAGTTCTTCAATTTTGGAAATGGAAGATTAAAAACCTTATGGCCTGAGTACTTGTTGACAATCTGGCAGGTTGCTGTATGTTCGAAATAGCTGCACATCAACCTGCATTCAAAGCTACTGTAAGCATTAGCTTCAGAGATCCTCATCTGTTCCTAAACCCTGAACTAGTTTTTGACGAGCATGTCTTTTGAAACAGGATATGGCAGGACTGATCAACAAAATAAATCGATCGTCCATTGCTCCACTCCCAACGGTGTATTCCCAGACCCTGTAAGTAAATGTCAATGTCACTTATGGTTCTGCTTCTGCATGATTTCTGATAGATTCAGAAATGTTATGAGGTGATTTTCTGAGCTGTAGGAAACAACTGATCAAAAGCATGCTAAGAAAGAGCCCAGAACATAGACCAACAGTAAGTTCAACTAGCCCCATTTTGTGTGACTTCTATGATAGTAATTTCTTCTCCTGATACATACATATATCTTAGGCTGCAGAACTGTTGAGGCATCCCCATTTGCAACCATATCTTGCTCAATGCCATAATCTATCTCCTGTCTTTCTCCCAGTAAAGTCTGAAAAAAGCAGCAATAATAAAGCAAAGGGAAGCTACTTCCCAAACGCATCTGGAACTGGAAAAGATTCAAAAGGTGAAAAGGCAAGACCTTCAAGATCCACCCTTGTATGTTTGCCAAGGGCTTCTAATGAAGATGGACAACTAGACTTCACCTCCGAGCACTCTGAGGTTGTGCAGAAGGAACTCCAAGTTATTAAAGAAGATACTAATGGCAATCCTAAGAGATTGGCGGCATTGCGTGTAGTTAACAGAGGTAATGCTGCTCAAACGGGTAACAGCAAGGGCAGAGAATCAAAGGAAAAGCACAAATATGAACATGACAAGACTCCTAGATGCTCTTTATATGGGACAGAGAACCACAGTCTGTATCAAATGAGAACTTCCCCACAAAACACAAGATTACCGAATGAAAACCAAGCTAGAAGAGAAGAAAATGATTTCAGCAGTTCCAAGCAGAAAAGAAGAGGAGGCAATAGGGAGTCAAGTGAAGCCTCCTCCAACTCGTCAATCATGAGCACACTAACTCTGCTTCATGGTTTCGAAACCAGGATCAAATGGGATTCTCAGAACCAGAAAAGGGCAGAAGCTCTGGAGTCACTGCTTGAGATTTGTGCAAGCTTACTTAGACAGGAAAGAATTGAAGAACTTGCAGGGGTGCTAAAACCATTTGGAGAAGAAGCTGTGTCTTCAAGAGAAACAGCAATTTGGTTGACAAAGGGGCTAATGAATCTCCAGCAAAGGATGTCAAACGAAAATTCCAAATAACAAAAAAA